CCTGTGTTGTGTACACGGACGTACAGACGGACGGACGGAAGTGACGTCAGGCAAGCCATGAAAAACCAACTCGATGGTTTACCATTTTTTTTCTTAAGTATGGTGCTCCGCTCGCGCGGGCCGAAGGAGCTCCGCTACTAATTTTATATTATTTTATATTTTAATTTTATATTATTTTATATTTTAATTTTATATTATTTTATATTTTAATTTTATATTATTTTATATTCTGTAAATTTATCGTAAGTTATGTTCTAGAATAATGTTAACAGTATTTAATGAGATTTATGTAAGATAACTTGAACTGGATTCAGCATTTATTGAAGTTAAAAACCGTTTACACAGCGGACAACAAAGCAAAACAACCTGACAAGAATTCCGCCCTCTTGGATTTACCCAAAATACATGGCGATTGTAGTCACTAACTTTTTACATATTTGTATATTAATAAAACGATTTATTGGAAACGATCGATTTTATTTTAATGTTATGATAGTTCTTCATAATATTTTGATGTAAAATGAGATAAAAAATATAACTTCTAGATTGTGTAATGAGTAGCCTGGCTTTCCCGCAAATTAGCTTTTTTATGGTATCTTTAACTAAATAAATCTACCCTAAAGCTGCTTATGTGAGACGGCTATCATCATATTTTAGATACCACTTATGATAACCTTTAATCCAAATGTACATAGAGACATAATTTGTCCTTCAAAGTGGCAATGAGCAGGTGGGCTCTCGTTTTATTGGTAACTGCAAATAAAAGCCTACTTTCTTTCAGATCAAGATAAGCGCAAGAAAGGACAGCCCCAATGTAAAGTTAGTTATCAATGGTTCAACCTTTTCAATGGAGCCTTGCCTGAAAATTCCAGGTACCTATCATTATTCTTGAAGCTAGCCTATGAAAAACATATCCAGGATTTCCCACGGGTGGAGTTGATCAATCCCCTATGACTTCAATCATTCCACTCCTGAAAGACAAAATTACGTTAGAAATGAACTGCCAATGGAAAGGGTTGTGGAAGGCTTCTTGGTTGCCCACGCTTCTTTTTGTAAAATATAATCAAAATCTTTTTCTAGTTTAGAAATTAATAATTGATAATTTCTGATTTTTTCAAAAAATCCTCTTTTTCTTTTCTTTTTTTTTTTTTTTGTTTGTCATTCTGGTGTTTTCATTCGAAGTATTCATGGCAAAGAGTGTGAAATAACTCCTCAATTTCGACGCCTCAGTTATTCATATTGGCTAACAAAAATAAGTTAGTTAATATGCCAGTTCAAAAATGATTTATTGAATTTATGATTATTAGTAGATGATCTATACTTTTTTGCATAGGAAAGGCTATTGTGTTGTTTCAGGAGGCTTTATTAGGTCACTTGTGCTTGCAGAGGCTATAAGTAAACGATTGATAATAAAGAATTTTAATCTAATGATCGTCATTGGCTGAAAGAGGTTCTCGATACGACTTTTGCTTGTCACGCTTTTAGCACATCAAGAGTGTCATGAGTACAAGTCCCTCAGTTATTCAGAYCGTCGAGAGGATACCATTGCAAAAGAAGAAACCTTCAGAGGTTGTGATGATCATCTTTCCACGACCACCTGGTACCGAGTCGTAGATTCTGCTGGACGGCAGTTGGCAACATCGTGTATAGATAGAAAATCGTCTTGCTCAACTAAATACATGGGGTGGATCAATGGCCTACTTCCTTCAGTAGAAGATGGGATAGTTGAACGTCAACTATGCTTTGCCGCAGATGGCAAGTGCTGTGTTGAGGAAACTACCGTAAAGATACGAAACTGCAAGGATTWTTTCGTCTATCAMTTCCCGAGAAAAGTTCCAACTTGTCCATCAAAGTATTGTACAGTCTACAAACAAGGTAAGTCCACAGGAAGCCCAAACAGGCTCTGTACCTGCGTAGCAGTTATCGGAATCGGAATATGGCGACATGTTTGAATAACTATTGTTTTGAATTGATCACCTCATGTTCACCTGGAAAAAGTCTCTTAAGATCACATGTATGAGCGGCTAGTTAGGTCGCTAGTCAGTGCAGAGCAATAGTTATTTAAATTGGTCGCAATATTTCGATTAAGTGTAACGCACGTCGTACTGACTCACTTTACTCATGTATGGGAATGGGATCAGACCTTGCTTTGGGTAAAATAGTGTATAATTTTACTTCAAGATAAATGTGAATTGTCCGCAAAACTTGGCTGCCTATGAGCTACACAATCAAAGCAAGACAAAACTTTTGAATACAAAATTATTTCAGCTGACCACCAATCATTATTGAGTAAAACCTCGTACAATGTTCGAAACAACTGAACACGTATAGTGAGGRAAAAAACGACGAAGCATGCTATTTCAAAAATACAGGGCGACGAGACAGCACTTTCCTTGAGCTGACATTTATAAAATAAATGGCAACACAGACTTAACCATTCAACGATACTACTCGTTCATATGAAGATTTTCTGAATGCAAACTTGTTGTTTGGCCTTTGCATGGTATTTTGTATGAATTTGGGTGTTAAATATTTTGACAAACCGTTTCCTGTTCCTACAGAATGGGGAGATAATCGTATTGGTGTATCTGATAGGAACATCATACCAGATAACACATTTACGGCAAGTTCACAGTGTGACAATGATGAAGCATACTGTATACGACTGACTGGAAAGGTCAGGGGATGGGCACCAAAGACAAACATAGACCCTAATGACTATCTACAGATAGACTTGGGTGAGGTGTTCGTTATCCGTGCTGTAGCTACACAAGGTCATCCTGTGTGGTCATACTGGACTACAGAATACAAGTTATCAACATCTATTGACAATATCACTTGGACTATGTACCAAAGTGGTGGCAAAGTGAAGGTAAGAACACAGTTAGCCCGAGGTAAGTATTCGTATAATACGCGAAACATATACAAAAATTTACTGAAAATCACAAAGTCATGTATACATTGATCTCACTTGTTCATTGTCCAGTTTACTTTTTTTTTTTTAATTAAAACCAAACCAAACCACACCAAACTAAAAACACATCCATAAGCGTTATCTAAATAAATTCATCAACATCATTATAACCGTAATCAAAAAGTCCGATTTGTGGCTCTTTTTAAAAAAACTCTTAGATATGATTGGCTGAATTTATCTTCTTGCAATGTGATTGGTCTGGCAGTGTCGTGACCTTGGCTGCGAGTGAGTCGGCTCCGTGTTCGTGCCGTGTTTCGGGTATTTGATTGAATGGAGGGTAAATTATCGCGCAATGTGATTAGTTTGGAGTATACCTTGCAGTGTCACGACCGCGTTTGTGCCGCGAGCTTTAATTTATAAGCAGCTTCACTGAGCGCTGATATGCTAATAAATTAGGTGTTTATCTATATTTTACATACATACTTTATTACTTCGTCCCTTTACAGGGCTTTTCCGAAGCAGTTACAGAATATATATATATATAAGAAATCTGTGAATCAATTTTCCGTAAAATAGTGCTCAATACATCGATAGAAGTAGAGCAGAATATTTGTTTGAGAAGAAAAAGTCAAGACAACATTTTACCCTAGAGGCCATAATCTTAGGAAAGTCTTTAATCGCAACACCATCAAGATCAGTTACAGCTGCATGAACAATGCCAAACAAATCATTGACAATCACAACAAGCGCATTTTACATTCACCGAGAGACGGCAAAGACACCGCAAACAACACAAAGGACAAGAAAACATGCAACTGCCGACAAAAGAACAATTGCCCGCTTAATGGAAACTGCCTCCAATCATCAGTTATATACCAAGCCACCGTCACAAGAAAGGACAACAACACTACCGCAACATACATAGGA